TTCTTTAATTACCAAAACAAGATCAAAATTAGAAGAAGAGAAATTAAATAACCCTTTCTAACCTCACAAGAGTCTACATTTTCAAGATGATTTGGAGCAATCATGGCTGGTGTGTTGAAGTAGAAACAATCCTTGCGAACTTTCCTCGGTGGGAATTGTGAATAAGGAATGAATAATGTTCCTTTTGGTGCTTTCAATTGTTCATCTTTGCTCAATCCATCCCCTACTAGCCATGTCTGCAATGTAATACTTCAATCAAGAGTTTCTTTTTAAATCTATAGAAATGAGACATGACATGACATGTTGGGGGAGATTCTTTTCTATATTTGGACTTTTAAAAATCCAAAATTGTTCTCAAACCTCAACATAGTGATAAAACTTTGGGTTAGGAGATCGAGGAGGAAGGGGCAGGTGCAAGGAAATGTTACAAATTGTCTATATATTTCAATCTGTTTCTGGTTTATACCTTTGAAACATTATAACATTTTGAGAGGACCAAATTAGTTGCAGCCTCGGGGGTAAGCTTTGCTTTAAGTCTCTTGTAATCTTCTTCGTCTAACGTGACAACCTATATAAAGAAAATTATGATGAATGAGAGAACAGAAAACCAAAAATGGTGGAGGAGATTAATAGTCAATTATACCTGAATTCCTCCTTTGCACAAGGCAAGAGCAATGGAGTTAGCAACTTTGGACAAACGACCTCGAACGACAACTTGAGAAGTTCCTTTAGAAATGGAATTGAGAACCACGGCCACAGCTAGGCTACTTCCATCTACCACCTTCACTTTCAACTGAGGATGCCTTCTTAGGTAAAGCTCTCCGTTACTATTCAGTTGCTCTTCCTGGAAAGTTACATTTGAAATAAAGCATAAATATGAATTGACCCTGTTCAACCTACAAACATTGATATAGGGTGAAAGGGTGAATTCTTTTTAAATCTTTTTCTCCATAATAGCAATATGTTGAGATTGCTTACAAAAAACATTTTGCGATAAGCTTGCAAGATAATTACCAGTTAAGAATAGATCATGCATTTTTCTCATAGATAAATAAGGATGGGTATTATAAGGCTTTTTAGACATATATTTTGACTTGCCTGATTTAAGAGTCCAAGGCTCAACACTTTTATGCCTTTTTGATCTGCTTCAATGATGGCTTTCTCAATCATATTGTTAATACTCTCTCGTTGCCATTGCATAAAGTACTGCAACAAAATCAAGAATCAAGACAAATTACTAATCCCTTTAACAACGGACCTGCAAAATGTAACAACAATCTTCAATAATGATAGCTTAATTACTTGTATGCGATACTTTGGAATAGCCCAAGTTTGTAATTTGAGATTCTTGAACAAATTTCTCTCAACAACAAATGTGTAACCATAAATCCATGTAAGCATTATTGACCATAGTGTGACGGGCCACATTAACAACATATACCACTTAGAGGTGTGAGGCTTTGAGGCCAGCGATGCAAATCCAAGTCGAAGATGGTAGATGGATTCTAGGGTTGTTAGATGTGTAAGGTGCACCACATCAGGCACTTCAGCTTCTCTCTCAAGTGACTTCTCATACAATGTGTCCGATGCCTTGTCCATTGTATCGTAGATATAGTCATAGAGTGGCATGAAAAGGCAATAATTTGTTCTGAATTGGGTGTGATGTAGTGAGTGGTACCTGTGCCACCAAAACGTTGATATTAGTGGCAAAAGAATAAATAATCACAAATACAGAGCTTCAGTTATTACTGACTATAGGAAAAGTACATTTGAAAGAAACATTAATTTCCATTGTCTCTATTTATTTCCCTGAGTAGCTAAAGTTGGAAGCAGAAGTCAAATTTGATAAAATATCCTGCTCTCCGAGCCTTTGTACTGCTGCGACTATACATTAGTAGAAGAGCCGCATCTCTCTCGTTACTTTAATCAGACCATTGTACTACCATTTAGATATGCATGAACATGAAGTGTTCTTGAATCTTTCAGAAGTAACACGAAAAAATGTCTTAGCTGCTGGCTTACATAAAGGTCATGTTATCAATATAGACATCCTATGTAGATGTCAAGAAGACAACAACTGCTCTTAAATCGAATATAAAAACTGAAATATGATCTAAAATTTATACATTGACAGTTGAATTTTTTCTTACAAGTTATAATAGAGGTTAGTTGTCATTTTAACCATGTTACTTATTAAAGATTAATTTAATAATAATTGCCTAATTAGAGACTGTTGTATAAAACATCACGGAGAAAAACACTTAAACTCATTAAAATACAGGGCAAGAAGTTTTTACTCACGAGGGTGTATACATGAAGTACTTGAGAGGGGGAAAGATAGAGAACATCCATTTAGGAATTAGCTCAAAGTTGCAATGCCCCATGAGGTTCATGAAATCAATATAGATGACATAAGCACCAATTGAAGCTATAGAAGCAGTCCCAGTGAATAATGTTGTGAATACAGGTATGCCAAAGAGTGTATAATATGCTAGTATCTCAGCAAATGGATGAACTACAGCTGCCAAAAATAAAATAAAATAACTTTGTAAACCATACAAGTTGGTAATTGATTGGTAAAATTGCACTATCCCCCCGTTAATTATATATGTTAGGCTAACTCTCTGAAATTTTTTAATGATGACAAGAATTGAAGTGTTATGTCATGTGACTTACAGTATGGCGTGTCAATAGTATATATCTGAGTTTAAGGGTGTGCTTGGTAAAACGTCTTTCTTGGTACATAAGCAGAAAACAACATTTGTGTATAATCTAGGTGAACATTATGAGAGTTGGAGGTGGGGGTAGCCGGGGAGGGGTGTGAGGGTGGTGGGGATATAGTGTGTTAAAGAGCGTGGAGGACTCAGGAGACAATCATGCCACTTGTGGAACTTGTTTCCCCTACTTTTATTGGAGAAGTCATTTTATTTTTCTTCAAAATTACAACCGAAGATCAATTTCAAATTAGTTAGATAAGAACTAACATGATCACTTGCATGCATCTTCTCCAAGATTGATCACATCTAATTAATCAAAGTGAAGGAAAACAAATTACCAGTGATTGGCTCAGTAACAATGGAGGAGTGGTGATGAGAATGGTAACGAGAGTAGAGAAAATGATGATGCAGAGCTCTGTGTAGCCAATAATAGAGGAGCTCTACAGGACCAATATGAAGCAAGGCAATTATAATGATCCCATCGGTCCTCCACATAGGCATGTGATGAGCTTGTTCCAGAATCAAGTATCCGATATAATATGCCAACCCAAAAAGTATGATCTCATCATCCCTACAAAACAATTAATTATTCAATCATTTAATTTTGCATTATATTGTCCTTTCGTTTTGTTAGATCCCTTGTATCTACAAAAAGTGAAAAATGAAGGTACATATATATATACCAGTTGCTTTCTCTGTCAACTTGATCAAATTCAATGCTTCTATCAAGAATTCGATTGTTCCCCTTTGCAGTCCTGTAGCGGGATAAAGATATCCATATCTGGTAGTGAACCATTCTGAAGAGAGTTAATGGGAGTAGGAGTATGTAGAACATGTCCCTCTCACTTTCATCTTTGCTCATGAAGAATGTGTATATGCTGTGACACGCAAATGGTGCCAATACCAAGTACTTCACCATCCCAACAAATCATTTTTGAAAAACAAAAAAAAAATTATTAGGAGAAGTGACAATGCCAACTCCGTCGCATGTAATACGTATGCGGTACGTTTATTATAGAGTTGCATGAAGCTACTAGTGATATCTTTTTGCCATAAATGATAGGAGTACTAGAAAAGGGTATATATGGATTCTGATAATTGTTGGTGTGTACCATGAACTTACTTTTACCAGAGTAATCATATTGGATCCATCATCTTAAGTTTATGGATTCTGATATTTGTTAATGTACATATTCAATGGATTTCTTAATAAATATACAGAATTAATTTGGATCAAAGTTACTAGTACCCGTAGCTTCGACCCTGCAACTTTTTACCATAAATGTTAGTAGAAAGAGTATACCTTTAAGTTGCCAAGACATGCCCATGGACAGTTAGTGAGAATGCCAGGTTTATTAGCCATTCTTTTGTTCAAGTGCTTCTAGCTTTGCCCCAACTTGTGTGTAAAAGCTTTTGCCTCAACGGCCTTTATATACATATAGAAATCTACTAAATGTATATATTAGGGGAATGCACATATATATATATATATATATATATATATATGTTTCCTATTTACCCTATTAAAATTTAAGTACTGCAAAGTCGATGCATCTACATGTGCCTTTCTGTTATAGCGAGTTAGGATGGCAATGGAGCGGGACAGGGCGAGTTGAGCTTAATCCGTAAAAAATTTAATTCGTCCCGCATAATAATTTTTATTTTATTTTCAACCCGCCCCGCATAGACCGGTCCCACATAATTTTTATAATATTTTCTTTTTCTAATTAAGTTTGATACTAAAAATAAATTATTTTTCATTAAGTTGCATCAATTTAATAAATAACGACTTAAATTTATTTTTTAGACGTCAATTAGGAAACTTGTAAGAAATTATATTATTTTTTATTGAACCATTTTCATTTACTATCTTGAATATTTTAGTAGTTATAAAGAAATTATCTTAATAAATAATGTTCTATCACTCTTATAACATGTAAAAAGTTAATAGTAAGTTTGAACCCGCATAAAATTACATATACCCACCACCTGCATTAATTTTTAAAAAAACCCACTTCAACCTGCCCCGCATCCCTCCCGCTCCGCACAATCTTAAATCCGCCTGGCCTGCCCCACATAATCTTAAACCCACCCCACACATTGATCCCGCCCCATTGTCATCCCTAAAAGCAAGAACTCGTGTTAATTAGGTTACTAATTTCTCTATGTAAGGACAACTTACGTGTAATTATTTTCAAGCTGATCTCATAGTGCAAGATTTTACTCCTTTTTTTTATATTGCATATTATATGAGTCCGAAGCCAGGGTCATTTTTTTCCTCCAATAAATAAAAATGGCACATCAAAATTTTTTTATCCAAAAGGCTAAAATCGCTTCTGACGGAGCGATTTTCTTCTATTTTGTTAAAAGAAATAAAAATCGCTACCTTAGCATAGATTTTCTAAAAAATAAATAAATCATTATTTCTTTTAAATCGCTGCTATAGCAGCGTTTTTATATTAAAAAAACTGCGATTTTTTGTTAAGAAATTAAAAAAAAAAGCATAAAGAACAAATTTTAAATTACATAAATTTTCGGCGGCAGCCATTTAAAAAAAACAAGTTTTTTAAAGAAAAAATCACTGCCGAGGCAGCGATTTTCAGTTTTAATTTTTTTTTAAAAAAAATTTCATCAAAATCGCTGAAAGTGTAAATATTTTTTTAAAAAAAGCTTTTTATGAAAACCGCTGCCTTCAGTTATAATTTTTATTAAATTCGCTGCAAGGGTAGGATTTTTTTTTTAAAAAAAAAATTAATTTCTTAAACAAAATCGCTGCTATATAGCAGCGATTTTACTTTTATTTTTTTTATATAAAAACGCTGCTATTAAAGAAAAAAAGAAAAATTATTTTTTTGAGAAAATCGCTTCGAAGGCAGCAATTTTTACGGAACGGCGTCAATTTTTGTCAGAACGATTTTGCCCTTTTGGTTAAAAACAATTTGAATGTGCCGTTTTTGTTTTTTGAAGAAAAAAATTGTCCTTTTGGCTCCGAACTCCCATATTATATATTTCGTCCATTTAAAAAAGAATAATCTACTTTACATTTTAATCTGTTTAAAAAAAATCATACGTTCCTTTTTTTTTAGCAATACTTCATTTTCAGGTTGTGGCATGTTTAAGCCTTAAGGCCACAAAATTAAAAACACATTTTTTTGGTACATTTGACAATTGACATAACGTTAATTTAGGACCATAAAATTGAATTATTTTAACACATTTTTTTGGTACATTTGACAATTGACATAACGTTAATTTAGGACCATAAAATTGATTTTTTTTTTTTTTATATTATATAAATAGTTAAATGGATTTATTTCTCATATAATCACCCAAAATTATTATCTTAAATTTTTTTCAATAAAAAGTGACATTTTCAATTATAACTACTGAAAAATCAACTCCAATTTTCTTTGATGGGACCAAGGTATAAGCAATTATATGAGTCCACCTAACACGGTATAGATTATGCTAACATTAATTGCGTGTTTGCGTGGAAAGTTGGATATGTGCTTTAATACAAGGGATGGCTATATTATTTGAGATCCTTGTTGAGACACAAAAGGGATGCATTTAAACATTAGCTTCTGATTGGTTGTTGCTACACCACCATGAAATTCAGCAAAATCACATGCATAGCACCATTGTGGTATGAAACTTATCCTCTTAAATTAATGAGTGATAATTCAGTTATAAAACTTACATTTTATTTGTTTAGGTATGAAATAAAAATAAATTAAAATTTAAGTATGTTTTGACCTTATAGGATTCATGTATCTATTTATTCAATTTTATATAAGTTTAAGTGTCTACTTATGCATACGAAGTTGAAGGGCATAAATATGAAGTAAAACCAAGTTAAGTGACACATTTATATATTACTCCCTCTATCCCATTTTATATGAGGTACTTTGACTCGGCACGGAGTTTAAAAAAGAAATGAAGACTTTTAAAACTTGTGGTCTTAAATGAATGACAGAAATTTGTGTGGCTATAAATCATCTCACTAAGGGTAAAACAGACATTTTAAAGTTAAATTATTAAGTACTCCCTCTGTCCCTAATTACTTGTCCACTTTTGAATTGGCACACCAATTAAGAAAACAATAATTGATATTGTGAGTTTACCATTTTACTCCTATTAATTGAAGTAGATGAATTAAAAACTCAGGATTTTCTAGAAGTTCTATATTTTTCAAAGTAATAAATTGAGGGTATAATAGAGAATTTTTTTTGTCCTTTCTTGATTTGTCAAAATGGACAAATAATTAGAGATAACTAAAAAAGGAAAAGTGGGCAAGTAATTAGGCAACTATGCTACTGTTGGCACCCCAAACTAAAAACTACAACTGGAAATCCAACTTTAGGTGGTCATTATGATCAGAAACTCACTCTCTGGAGAATTCCTTGATTACTTATCAAATAAAATGAACATTTTTGAATCACCGCCTACGGCCCCTCGATAATCAATATGATTGGTGGAATGTGGTATTGTAGCTATTGGTTGGTAAGCTTGCAATCAAGTTATTGCTAGGACAGAGGAAATACTTAATATAGAAATGTGTCATTCTTTTTTAGACTTACTAAAAAGAAAAGTAAGTCACATAAATTGGGACAGAGGGAGTATGTCTTTTCCAAATGATAATTTTATAAAAAATTTCTAACTTCCGTTACCTTCTGTTATGTTCAAGGATCAAATATGCACGTATATTTTATAACTAGTAAACTGAACTGCGCCTCGCGCGGCATATTAGTATTTCAAAAATTAAATTGAAACAAGTAATATTTTATTTAGATCCGCAACTTTTTCTTTTATATATCAACAAATCATACCAAAAAATAAAATAAATCATCAAAATAAGGTGAAACACCATAAAAATAATCAGAAGAAAAGACAATTATTTTTTGAATTGGATTTGCCTCGTCAAAAAAAAAAAACTAATAACATTATTTATTTTTTAAAATCTATCTCTGAACACCTACTTAAAAGATACGAAGGTCATTTTAGGGATGTTGAAATTGTAAATGGACTTTGCATATTTAAAATCGCATCTCCAATGAAAAAAATTGTAAGAATAATATTTCGCATCTACTTTACTTGTTACGTTCTTTCTTTCCCTTAATTGCTATCACGTCAATTGCTCATTAAATTTTATTTTAAACACTATGTAACCCATAAAAAATATCATTACATGCTATTCAAAATCGATATTAAAAAACAAACAAAGTGAGTAATGACCTAATGAAAAAACTCAAAAGGAAATATTAGCAAAGAATTGACACCGTAATAACCTTTAAAAATTATAGAATTTTAATATATTTTTCAAATGTTGTTTTTTTTTTTTTCACACAGGTTTTGGGCTTTTAAATATAAGGGGGTGTTTGTATTGAATTGTTTTAAGTAGCTTATAAGTTAAATGATATATAAAAGTCATAAGTTGGGAACACTCATTTTTTGACTTTTAACTTTTTTTAAAAAATAAATAATAATCGATTAAAGCACTTTTTGAATTTCCCAAACGCGTTCAAAGTTTTTTTTTAAAAAAACTTAAAAATAGAAAACCACTTAATATATATATATATATATATAGAGAGAGAGAGAGAGAGAGAGAGAGAGAGAGAATGATAGTTATGAGAAAAGAAACATTTATAGCATTAATTTTTGAAATTGTGTTTTAGTTCTAACAAATAAATATGAATGCTGAACTAAGAAGAGTGTCATGTCACTTTTTTATTTTAGCTTTATTATTATGTTTATTATATATTATTATTATTATTATTATATATTATGTAATAATGATATTATATAAATATTATTCAAAATTTTAAAAAAAGGCAAAGAAAATTCGGTAAAATTATTTTTTGCAATTCTTATTAAGTTATAATAACATATTTCTAGGAATAAAAAAATAAAAGGAAAAGAAAAAAACAAAAGAAAGAAAGGAAAATAAGTGATTTTAAGGGAAAATAATATAAAATAAAAATTAATGATGACATTAAGGGAAGGAAGTAAAAGAAATTAATAGCAATAATGATCATGGGAATTATATATGGTTATTTTTGATATTTTATAAAATTTTAATGTAAATTTTTCAGTCTTTAAAAATTAGGAAAAATGTAATTAAAGTAAAATAAATATCGATGCATAATTTTATTTTAACTTTATTATTATTATTATATATTATATAATAATGATAGTGTATAATATTATTCAAACAAAATTCAAAAAAAGGCAAAAGCAAATTTTGTAAAATTACTTTTTGCAATTCTTATTAAGTTATAATAACATATTTCTAGGAATAAAAAATAAAGGAAGGAAAAAAATAAAGAAAGAAAGGAAAATAAGTGATTTAAGGAAATAATAGTAATGATGAGATTAACAGAAGGAAGTAAAAAAAATTAATAGCACTAATGATCATAGGAATTATATATGGTTATTTTTGATATTTTATAAAATTTTAATGTAAGTTTTTCAATCTTTAAAAATTAGGAAAAATGTAATTAAAGTAAAATAAATATCGATGCATAATTTTATTTTAACTTTATTATTATTATTATATATTATATAATAATGATAGTGTATAATATTATTCAAACAAAATTCAAAAAAAGGCAAAGCAAATTTTGTAAAATTACTTTTTGCAATTCTTATTAAGTTATAATAACATATTTCTAGGAATAAAAAAATAAAAGGAAAGGAAAAAAAA